TTATTATTATTATTATTATTTATTATTAATTAAAGGCATGGCTGGAAAGAACTCCAGGACTCAATGCAGAAGGATTTGATTTCTGGGGACAATTTGAAGTGAATGTTTTAAAAGGCCTAGAAGAGGAATTTGCCTTGGTGCAGGTATATAATGTACGCTTGATCTAGCTATAAGCAACGACAGCTGGCAAAATGACATCCTGACACAAACCTGACTTTTGGCCCAATCACAGTTTCTCACTCACTTCACTTAATCTTCAGCAGCTTCTGTCTACAAGAAGCAGAAAAAATTGCACACTTTTCCAGGAAATCTGAATAAGTTTGTAATTTGACATCTAAGACTGTTTAAAACATGTGATACATGGATGATTTTGATTGCAAAAGGAAGGGGATAGTATCAATGGAAGGGTTGAAATTGATTTTACTGAAACTACAACTTCACCTTTAGTTAGCACTTGCATCTACAGTTCAGAGTAAAACTCCACAAAGTTTGGGCCCATGAGCTGTGAGTATGGAGTGTCATTGTAAATGGCCCATTTCTATTTAACACTATGTCGCAATTTGCTGCTATGTGTTTATTTGAATTACACTGGCAAATAAGCACAAGAAAATCCCCAAATAAGTAGCTTTAAGTACATTTTTTAATGGAAAAAACCACCATAACATAAGAATTAGCCAATTTCCTGAGAATATCTGTTTACAACTTTCTAACTTACCTGAACTTTTTTATTTACAATTTTCTTACCCATAACTGTGCAAGGATGTCTTCTTTTTGCCTTGGGAAAAAAAAAAAAGTCAGACTTCAAACAAATGAAGATTAAGTGTTTCTAAGGCCTCCAGACCTAAAGAAAAATGATAAGCTGCCAGTTTGTTTGAACATTCATTCATCTGAATTATGTTGACAGCTATTTAATTGTACATTTTGTGGTAATTGTGTTTTTTAAAGGACAGTGACTCGACTACCTTGTTTGAAAATACAGTTCTTATATTTAAGATGTAAACCTACAGAGTATTTATGATTAAAATTGAAGTTACATCATGGGTCATTCAAGCACTTAATTTTCCCTATTGAATTCTAAAACCTGTTTTTGTTTTAAATATCAAAGGCCAAACCAGAATCAGAAGAAAAAGAGGACTTACTATCTGAATTCCAAAAACAGAAAGATGTATTACTTTCGTTATTTGATGAAAAACGCCATGAACACCTGCTTAGTAAAGGTAGATTGTATTTATATATGTCAGTATGCACTTTTTTTTTTAATGTGATACATAACAATAACAAATTTGCAGGAGAATCCGTAACAAACTAAGGACACTTGTATTTTGCAGGAGAAAGACGACTGTCTTATAAAGCACTGAAAGGTGCCTTAATGATCTACTTCTACAGGTAATGTTAGAAGATATGTCTTTAATGCTTACTGGCAGGAGAAGAGGTGAAGGTTAGCGACAGCAGCACAGGTTTATTTAGGTTGGAACAGGCCTTGGAAAGTAATCTAGCCCAACCCTCCATGAAAACCCAGATTAGTTAGATCCAATTTGAAGGTCAGATTGGGCTGCTCATGGCTGTGTCCAGTTGAGTTTTGAACATCTTCAAGGATGGAGATTACACAGCCTCTCCGGGCAGCCGGTTTGTGTCTGACCAGATGCTGCTCCTCACATTGAAACTAGCAAATGCCTTGGTCAAACTGTTCTACAAAGTGTCCTAGGAAGATTTAGAGTATTTTTCCAAATATGAGGTAAAAAGCACAGATTGAGACTTACATGGCAGAAGCATTTGTTAAAATATCTACTGACATTTCAATACCAATTTAGGAAAAATATACATTGTCACTGTTACGCATTGGTGAAGCGGTACTTTGAAAAATACAGCATATCATAAGAGGTCTCACTGCCCTCTCTTTCATTTTCCAAGGGAGGAGCCTCGTTTTCAGGTTCCTTTTCAGCTTCTTACCTCGCTTATGGATATCGATGTGCTCATGACCAAATGGAGATGTGAGTTTTACTTTTTGACTGTGACACTCCCTCTTTTAGATGCAAGTAAACTGTTCTGTTTCACCCTCTTTTAGACAAGTTATACCCAGAGTTTTAGAATTGAGCTTCTGAGTTCATCCTTTAGGAATGACTTTTTCTGTTTTTACTTTGGCCAAGAGGAAAGATGAACAGTTTCTTCTGTGATCATTAGATACATAGGTATAGCTATCACTTCTATGACATGCTTTAAGTTAGGTGAACGATTTTATTTAAGGGACGGGTATGTATTTTCCAATGTCTGCCAAAATGTCATCATGACAACTCTTCATATGCAAACATTCCTTCTGCTCCTTCCCTATCTAGACATCCATAAATGAATGTATTAATTCTGTATTAACAGAGCACAATAATGTATAATAATGTGTATTTGTTCTGTATTAACAATAATTTTATATTAGTTGACTGAAGAGTGGCATAATTAACTCCTGCATTGCTGAAGACCTAGTAGTTCTGTATCTCTGTAAAGATCTCTGTATGATCTTTAATATTTCACTGATGCACCTTGGTGTGACCCTTTGGTTATATCTTAACACTGAACATATGCCACGTCCTTCTTTTCTGTTACTTAGATAACCACGTCTGCATGGTGCACAGAATGATTGGCAGCAAGGCTGGCACCGGAGGCTCATCAGGCTACCAGTATTTGCGCTCCACAGTGAGGTAAGAATAATGCGTTTCCCCCATTACCTGCAATAATGCAGTTCATAGACACTGTACTGCCAGGAGACAGATTTCAGACAAGCCACTGGAGGCCAGAGGGCTGTTGTTTCTCTTGTGGGACTCTAGCATTTCCTCCTGGCTGTTGAACATTTACTTATCAGGTTGACATATATAAATTCCAAGCCTTTTGGGGCAAAAAGAACTCCTTTTGATCACTCATGCAAAGTGCCATTTATAATTCTCAGTCAAGGGATCTAGGCGTTACTGTGACAGCAATAATATTAATCCTGCATTGTTTAGTTCGTGTGCAAGTTAATGAGGTGATACAGGCTGGAAGTGAGTCCCATCTACTATGCAACTGATGACAGTTTCTTTATTCCTTAGCAGGACCTCTAATCGTATAACCTAAAGTACTTCCATTTAGGATTGAATATATTCTTAAAGGTGACAGTAATTAACACTCTCAAGCTGTGCAAGCAACAATCAGAAACACGTTTCCTTCTGTTGGATGAAGCAGAAAAGGAATTTAAAAGGGATGGTTGGGGCTTGAGCATAGAACTCTCTAAATGGGTAGAACTTTTTTTACACCAAATTTGAGGATTCAGCTCATTAGACAATTCAAGCTTTTTAGCTGCAACTATGTCCTGACAATCTGAATCACATTATGTCAAAAAGCAAGGCTCTTTAAAATGCCTTCTTCTAAGAGGACCTTCCTTGAGGTTTGTTTTGAAAGAGAAACTGTACATAGCTGGTAGCTGCCATGTACAGCTGTGGGCAACGATGCTCATCACAACCATCATAACAGAAGGTAGAATAGAAAGCAGATGGTTAGATTGAATTCGAAGATTAAAGGTTCACTGTCTTTTTCAGCAAGCCTTCTCACTCTTCCTTAATTTCAGGTTAATATTCTTCCTAGATAAGTTCTACTTCGTATCTACCACACAGTGGAGGTCTGGAGATTATAGCCTACATACTCTGCATTTTCAGAAGAAATATGTGACTATAGCAACCATATTTCCTTTTTCAGTCTAATCTGCTATGCTCTAGAAACAGTTGCGATTGGATTCTTACTCTGGAATATTCAGGACGAGGGTTAGTGCAGAAACCTTATTAAATAAATAAAAGAAATGGAATGATTCCTGAGGATTTTGAAATTATGGCCTTCCATGCCAATATAGCAGTATTAATTGTTCCCGATTGTCTTTTTCAGTGACAGATACAAGGTGTTCGTGGATTTGTTCAATCTTTCAACATTTCTAGTGCCAAGACACTGGATACCAAAGATGAACCCAACCATCCATAAATTCCTTTATACAGCAGAATACTGTGACAGCTCGTATTTTAGCAGTGACGACTCTGACTAGCCTGCCTTTCTAGACTGTAAAGAACTTCAGGACTTGCACCTCGAGTGGTGCTATCCTTCAAGTATAACAGCTATTCTCACACAGTGTGGGTGTGTAAATACGTATTTATGTATCACAGCTATGTGAATAGTATGATTGGTTTATGGAAGAAACTTCATTGTTTGTAGAAAAAATAATCTGTATTGAGTTAGCCTATATCAAGACTAAAATGATACCCCAATTGAACTCAATGACTAATTTAACTCTTAGTTGGCTTCTTAAAACCTATACCTAGAGAGTGGGAGCAAATTTTACAGAATTATCATGATCATGTCTTATTTGTACATATTTTTGCATTTGTTTGTTTGGCTAATGGCTGTTAGTAATTTACTTCTAGTTGAGGACATAATTAGTCTCATCACCTTCAGAAGAACGTAAGTTTCTGAGCTCTAGTGGAATTTCAAAAGAAATTTTGGGTTAAGAGTTTCAAAAGCTAGATTTAAAAAAATATTAAGTCCTGAATCTATAGACACCCAAGCCTGTTGAACTTTTACATATATCAGGAATAATGTTGCTACCTGTGTTGTTACATGCGAATGTAAATTCCTTCAGTAGAGATACTTATTGTTAAGAATAGCAGATATAAATAAGCACTTAATTTGCACTTCAAATAAAGCAGTAGTAAATCTCTTCTTTTGCTAAGACTTCTTCTAAAGCAAGCATAGAGTTCAAACAATATTATGACAGGCATTTAAAGTGTTTTTTATTCAAAATATCATTGAAATAAGGATAAAATTGATACATAATAAAAGCAAGGCAAATTTGGCCATAGAATATTGATAAAGCTGCGTCATCTTCTTAGTAGATGGACTCTCGTCTTTTTAAACGCTTCCCTTGGAAATACACATATGCTGTAGGCCTTAATTTCTGCTGAGTTGCTCTGTATCTTAGTGCTTTAGGTACTTATGCCAGGTAGTACCACCTCAAAAACAGCGGTGGAATGTCTGTGTTTGATACTACTATAACAACATTACTCTTATCAATGCCAATTAGGAACTTAGGCTATTGTTTTCCAGTTACGAAAGTGTGCTATTTGTTGTTTGTAAACTGCTATATAGAAGACTAAGACTACAGAAGACTTCCCTTTTGTTAATCTGAAGTTTTCAGCCCATAAACTCAGTAATTAGCAGCACCTGAAACAGTGAAACATAGCACTTTGTCTTCCTTTCATCTAAAATATTAACACTTGGAAGTAGAAGGACTAAAATGGCAATATTTACAATAGACAATTATGATTGCATTTGTCTTAGAAAGATAATAATACACTGATCTATTAACATGGTACAGTAATTGAGTGCAAAAATTACAAAACTGCTTCAATACTTTTCATAGCAGTGCTTCATAAAAGATTACAGGTAAAGCATTCCAGATGAAAGATTCAGAGCATTTTAGAATTACACGTTTGGTTGTGAATTCTAGTTACATTTGCCTGCAAGTGCAGTTTTACAGGTCAGCAAAGCTGGAACCACCTTTTGATTCCCAGCAAGTTGCACCTATGAATTTAATTAACATCCACTCTATTTGGAGTATTCTGTACTTGCTGACTTTCTAAAGGTGGCAAATATATATTAACAACCCCCACCCTCACAATTTTTTCTATAATAAGTAAGTTTTTTAATTTCTGCTTTGCAACTGGCTTCACTGTTAGGTGTGAAGTAGAGAATAGAGAAGGCATGGAACTGATGCAGCTCTCAAAGCATGGAAAGGCTGATTTGCAAACACATACATCCTGCCAGGACACGGGATGTTAAACCACTAGAACTGCCTCCATTTGTCTAAATACAGTTACTTCTTACTTTTCTGTCCAGCTAACAAATTACTCCAGAAGATACTGATATTCCAGGCACTTTCCAAAACACACTCCCTGCTCTGAAGAGCTCTGAAGTTCTATTTACCCAATAAAGGTCTGAAGACTGAAATTGAAGGACTGCAGCACTTCAGAGACAGTGGGTGTTCAGGAAACAACTTTGACTCTCCATTTCCATCTTCTATTATTCTAGCTGTAGATAAAAAGTAGGATTTCACAAAAAGGGGGAAGACAAAAATGTGTGACTGTCAGAGGGGCTAGAAAAGCCAAGACAGCTATCAAAGCAAAACAGAAAGAATATTTTCTTCCAACTGCCCTTCCTCCCTGCCCAATAAAGGCAGACCTAATCATGGTTCTTCTTATATTCAAAGCATTTTGATTATATTCTGTCATACTATTTTTTGATCCAAATTCCTTATAATTTTCATCACTTCTTTCCTGTAAGATTTTTTTATGGAGTAGTATTCAACACCTGGATAGAGTTCACATTCACAGCTTCAGTCCATCTTTGTAACTTCTTTTTGCGTACTCTGCAGTTGATTCCTAGTCGTCTTATTCCACGAGAGATTTGAAACGCAACACACATTCCAAATAAAAACACTTTAAGAACTCCAGCCAATGCATTCCTGTACTGCCTAAAAGCAGGAATTGCCCTTCTAATTGTAAGGGCAATTAGAAATGCTAAATTTCTACAGCATTTTAGAAAATGTTGCTTTGAAGTAAATCTTCACATAAAGCATATGCCAAACTATTATCCAAACGATAATCGTGGTCTTTGGCCAGTAAGTGTCAAACAAATATTGATGAAACTGTATCTGCTATACCTACAAATGAAACAGAAACATTTTTTAATAAATACTGGAACTGGAGACTTGCCAGAAATAAGTTTCCAGAATTCACATTCATATAATGCCCTCTCTCCTCCATTCCATGACAGTAGGCGAACTGCTGGCGTTGCGGGGGGGGGGGGGGGGGGGGGGTGGGGGGGAGCAGGGAATCAGCTGCAACGCTTTTATTTCTTCATTGCCTGACACTATTTATAGCTGTGCTACAGACTCCTCCCTCCTCTGCTTTCATGTTCGAAACTTTAGATCCTTTTTAAGGATTTAGCATTGGTTCAATCTGGGTGCTGAAAAGCAATCTACACCTTGATATCCTCTTCCCTTTTAATCATATTCATTAGCGATTGATAGACAATATGAAGCTATGTAGCTTTGAAAGCTCACCAAGAAACTAGAGATCACAAATTCCATTACAAGACACATTTTTGAACACTCATATATACACAAACAAAGAGCAAACTACGCTTTTGTTCATGGCAGTTCTTTTTGCATTGTTGTACTCCTTCCAGCGCTAAAAGCGAAGTCTGACTACAGCCTGTGAAGGTATCAAAGGGTGATGGCTCTTACACCCTCAAAAGTGGTGTCAGAGCACCTCTAAATCAGAAGACAACATCTGTGGGGGAAACAGAGCAACTACTGGCTTTTGCTGGATTGTTGTTCTGTGACAGACTACAGAAAATATGAAAGACCCTGCTTGGGGAGAATGGATTTTCAAAATAACACAGCTGTTCTTCCTGACCACTTCTACAATTGACTTGGTTTGGTTATCACTACTTCTCAATTTCTCTTTCCAAATAGTTTGCTTATACAACGACAAGAAGAACAAAAGTTTCAGCAACATGGAAAAGCTATGATTGGATACATTGTCCTGATCTTTACTGCGTGCAGGCAAACTGAATATTATCTGTTCTTATTTGCAGATGATTTACAGCTTTTACAATAACTGTGAGAGCTACTGTGAAACATACATGGAAGGGAAAGCCAACAGAAGACCTACAGTGTTAATCTAACAGACAACAATTCAGTGGACACACAAGACCTACTACCTAGTACTCCAATCCCAGCAATTTGGCTCAGCAATCTTTGCTGGTAAACAGGAGCTTCACCTGCCTTACCTCCATATCCAGCAACTCAGAAGAAAGAGGGCATTTAACACTAGAAAAGCCCCTCAAACACCAAGAAAAATCTCACGCAAATGGTAAGAGGGCGGGAGATGGAACTAGCAATAAAAGTATATACCTTTATCCTACAGAAAAGCCACAAGCAGGGTACACAATTCCCAAGCACAGGCAAACCCATGTTCCATATTTGTTTGCTAAACTGAGCCCAGAGATAATTGCATCCACCAGACAAGGACAGCAGCTGTTTTACCTACACTTGAGTATAGAACCACGATACATGACTTTACAATGCCATTACCTCTACATGGTAAAGTACAATAGCACTTTATTTGTTATGCCTTATATAGCTTTACCTTCACATGGTGTTTTCCAGTCATTCAACTATATGGCTTGGTTAAACTAGCAATCACTTTATTTATTTTTCCGCCTGGACTCATCTAACCTCTTTCAAAACATAGCAATTATTTTTATTTCCTCTCTGAGCATCCCATTATATTGCTTTACTTACATGGAGAAACATATCCCAGCATGTGGCCTTTACTGCTTTAATTATTTTTTTGTCAGACTTACCACAGACATTGCCGCCTATCTTAACACGAACATAGCCGTCTATTCCCCACGTAGAGCCCCAAGAGTTCTGTACAATCCAGTACGGGATACTACCTGGAAGAGACATTTTCATTAACAAGAGACAACATGAGATGCGGGAAGCATAAAAAACTTCTAACACTCTACAGAGTTAATTGCCATTTTAATATCTCATAACTTATGATGGTTTGATGATATAGCACAGTGAAACCTACTGCTGTTCACAGAGGACAGAGCTAATAGTCCAGTGTTGAACAGACTGGATATATCCTTTGCTAGCATAAAGAAATATACAGCCATGTTTGTGACCTTACAAGGACATGAAGTCCCACAGAACTGAAGGAGCACAGACAAGAAGAGTATTTCTCCTGGGATCAGACTGCGCTTCCAGAACTGATGTGACACCAAACCAAACACCTCAACAGAACACCCAGTTCTGGATTTTAATCACCTGCCCCACAGGATGCAAGTTGCAAGTAAGTGAAAAACCACAAAACCTACTGGGTTGAAGCTCAGTTGACGGAAACGCACCTGTTCTGTCAAAACCAGTGATTAGAACAGCATGATTTGCTCTTCCACTGGAGCAGTGATACTGTATGATCC